TTTGAGATGGTCATTGTGCAATTATTAGACGCTCTCGTATCTTTCCGTGAGCAAGAAAAAGTCTAAAAACTCTTGGAATTTGACCTACTGTCATGTCCAAACAGGCAGTTCTATATATCAAAAGATGCACCTTGCTGAGCTGAGTTGAATCTTGTTTTTGGATTTGAAATTCGTCCACTCCGAAGCAGGATATGAATGATACGACCAAAGTAAGTCAAATTCCGGCGGTGTGTGATAATTTTTCTCATAGACACTCGAATGAAGTGGAACAAGACTAGATAGGGTCGGCAGCGGCGGGGGGGGGGGACTAAAACTTAGATAATCATTTGGCCAATCACGCAGAAGTTTTCGTAGCCAATCACAAAGCCAAGGGAGGAACTCAGTAGGTAGTGGAGAGCTTGGCGACGAATTAGAGTGAGAATGAGACACAGAATAAACTATCTCCCAAAAATGGTATTCTTATATACAATCTCAATCAAACAACCAATTCAACATAAGTACATTTCTATATACAACAAATATGTATCGGTCATCGCAATCTGCGATACTCCCGGCGACAGTAAGATGATCATGGTTATTCTAAAGTTAGCTTCTTCATTGATTGAGATTGTCTTCAATTTCTAGCGGTGCCAACAAGTTGATTGGTCTTTTGATTCTTCGTCTGTTTAAAATGAGTTCTGCTTCTCGTACTTCGGCATCCATTCCACGATGAAGTTCAATGAATCTTGCTAATTTCCAAGAGTTGCGTGGAAGTACTGGATCGCTAACCAGTACCACGGATCCAATTTTGGGAATGTCTGCTTTTTATCGTTTCCTCCGGTGAGATATAGCTTCTGCCAGATTTTTCAAAAACGTTCGGAAATTTTGTAAGAGGATTGAAGTGCCTCTTCGACATGATGACGATTCTGGAACGTTCTCTTCTCTTCAAGTGGCACGTAGTCTGGTTCATCTGCGTTGATGTAAGGTCATCGAAGGAAAGCGTCACTATCCAGTCTTTCTGTAAGAAGTCGATTGGACGAATTACTTTTATAGTATCACGTTCTGCTGCTTGGTACGTCAATGGTCTAGAGTCAGACCGGGCCCGGCACGAGGTTGTCAAATTCCAAGCTGGAATTCGTTTTCGGCAAAAAAAAACAAAAGGGAAATCGTTTTTGCGGGATCCGGGCGAAGTTCCGGAAAAAGTTGGTAGTTTATGCCCTCTGCTTGTCTTAACACGTTTCGGACCGGTGCTGCACATGGTGCAGCACGCGCCTTTCAGGGGTCTTTTTAATGTTTGCGGGAGGTTGCGGGAAGTCTGTAAAAGGCTGTGCCGCCGATATTGTTTAGAAGATATGAGGACAATTCGAACAGCAGTTGCAACGAAGTGCGGCAACGCGAACGACGCGTGCGACGTCGCATTTCTTTGCTTCGAATTCAAAGAGAAAAACCGTAGTTCCAATAGTGATGTGTGTGGTGTACAACATAGATACTTTTGGATACAATTAGAAACTGAGTTCTTGTTCCTATCTTTTAAAAAAGCACCGAAGTCCTTCTCAGGCGACAGAATTCAAACATTTCGAATTCACTTAGAACTTTGGGTATGGATCTTATCTGACATGCTGAATACAGATGTGGCACACAGTTTACGAATTAAAGGCAGTGTCCGGGCAAAAACTCGATTTTGAGATTTTGTGCTTATACGGGCCTATTCGCCATGATGAATCCGAAAATCCACATTGGAAAGCGCGAAAACGGCGAAAAAGGGCTCTAACACAGGAGGGAAATCAGCAGGTGGGCGAGGCTCGGAGCCTGATTTGTCTTCTTAGCTCTAAGTAATATTTGGTGAAAGCACAGCGATCAAAAGCGAAAAATGGGAAAAACGAGATTTTGGTTGGCTTCTAATTCCACAGTTTGCAGGTCTTCTGAAGCGAGATTCCTGAGGTAGACAAAGAAGGAGTAGTGCTTTGTCTTGAGTGCAAAAACGGATAGCTAATTCACCTTTGAAACAAAGACCATGTTGGAATTTGACCATTTCATTTAGGTAGCCTAGTATCTTGAATCTTCAGAATTCGTAAAACTTTGCAAGGGTTAATTGACATGCTTATTACGGATATGATACGAATATCATGTTATCACTATTATCAGATTATCCAACTACGACCCCCTCCCCTTTTGACTCCTCAGTACGACCCCCCAGGTGTGGCGTGCCGCACCCCACGCTTGACCCTGGTTATGTGCCTCAAGAGGCGAACACTGGAGTCCGCGCGCGTCAAACCGCGCCGTCGGTAATTGCCGCACGCGCGACGTCGCTCAAACGATGCTATTTGTAACAGCATACATGACTAGTTCTCAAAGTATGCGTAACGATATGGACCAATTTTTGTAAGCGAACGGAGAGAGGGTGGTGGAAACAAAGTATGAAAAATTATGAAAAACTTATGTGAAGTAATAAGCATTTTTTCTGAAAATTGCGCAAAATTGGAAAATGAAGATGTGAATTCAAATGGCTCGTTTGCAATGCGCAGATGACGATATGGTATGCTTGGTACATACTTGCAACGGGCCTGCAGGGCTTAACTGAGAAGTTTCAATGAAAAATTGTGCAACTGAAAGTTGTGGCAAATTTTTATCTAAAAATTTCCCGCTACCAAAGAGCGGAAAATTGGCTCGTTTGCCGCAGAGGTGACGAAGTCGCGCGGGAATTGGTGTGTGTATGCGCAGTAGGTTTATGTAACATGCGAAAAATTATGAAAAACTTATGTGAACGAAGAGCTTGCCCTACTTTTTTTTTCAAATTAGGTTGTCATTTGACAACCTAATGACAAACTGAGATTGTCGAAACTTTCAATTCACATAATTTCCTCAAAATTTTTACATAAATCTACTCTACACCTAAAGGTTAGTATATATTGAAATTTTGGTTTCAAACTTCCTCCTCTCCTCATTGCTAGAGCCAAAAAGAGCTTCAGCAGGACCTCAATCGCTAACAGCGTATCGCTGAGTCCTTGAATCGGCGTTTGGTGTGCCGGTGTGTCGCCCACTTTTCCGTGTTTTCGTTGGTTTTTCTGTTTTCAAAATCCATTTCGCTATGTTTCCATATCATTTCATTGCTACCAATAGTTGCTTGAGGCAGTAACGATGTTGTAGATATGGATCTGCGATCTTATGTCAACGATTAAATATTCATATTATATAATATTTTCCAACGCCTACGTAGCTGTCACGAATGAGAAGGCGTTTTTATGGATTGATGGGCGATACCTCATCGAGGTACACTCATCTTATTGAAAACTATAATTTTATCAAGTTTTTGTCATTGTTTTCATTTTTTTGCCATTTTTCAATAGTAACATTATTGTGCGTTGTGTTTTTTTAAAGGCGGTTTTGTTGCTCGGAAGTGAGAATTTTTCAGCAATTTTGTATTCCCTAATATTTGAGTAACATTGCTTGATACACCGTTGCACAAATCTTGTTTATTGTTCACGTCCGATTTCAGGCTAATAAAGAATTGGTACCTCACTTCACTTTCCTCAAACAAGGTTTACCTGATTCCATTTTACCTGGAAATTTTGTAGCGGAAAACGTCGATGCTAGAGAATGGGTGGGAATCGAACCGGCGCTTCACACTATTAGGCTGCTTACAATGTAGTTTTTGATTTAGATGTGATATGAGCAAGATTTATTACAGAAGGAGGTCAGAGATTAGTGAGGACGTCGGAATCTATGGGTCTTCAAGTTGCACCTGTTAGGCAAAATTTGATAGATCAGTTCTGGCAAAATCGTCCACCGCTTCAATCGAGAGACGTAAGTATACATTTTTTTTCAAAATTTATAGCTCAGCTTATGTGCTTGATTTGAAGCAATCATCATGCCGTCTGAAGAGCATGGTCGTGAAACTAAAGAAAAACTAAAAGATTTACGCGAGCGAATCTCGAATAAGAAGTGCAATTCAATAATCCTTGCAGCATTAGACGATATTATGTGTTAGTGTGTTATATCTCAACTATTTTAATCACTATTGAATCATTCTAATATAATTTTCTTCTGCAAGCAAGTAAAACGACGCATTGCGTCTAGGGTTGCTCAACACTCTCGGGTTTGATACTAAGCACATTTCTTGGCCTATTTATACCTACTTGTAACTCCGAAAGATGTCTGTCTATTCATGGACAAAGCTGATGACAAGGTAGCAGTTTGCTCAAATTAAAAGTGGAAAAAATAACCTCGGAGGATGCAGATTTATCTCAAAGAAAAACGGGGTACCCTACATCCAAATGATGATGCATATACTTTCATATCAAAATGGAATGATGAACGGAAGGAGAAAAACAAAGCAAAACAAAAGGTAAGCTGTTATTTTTTGGCTCGGCCACACTTGACCCTTGCTCCTACCATCTTGTAACTATATGTATGGATTCTAGGTTTTTGTACCTAGTTCCACCAACTATACCTCTTCTAAAGCATTTTTGATCATGTCTCTGTCATTGACGCCAGCCCAGTCCAAGTGATGAAAGGTGTTAAAAATCCAGTAGAGCTAAATGGCATGCGACACAGCCATGTAAGTTGCAGTGTGTTTTATTGGATTAGAAGAAGTTAAGGGCAGTTCTCACCAAAATTTAATTGCCGAGTTTTTTGCATTTTGCAAACCTGTCGGACCCTGTCCAGCACTGTATGGGCCTAAAATCGCATGAAGTTCCCAAAAACCCCGTTTTCTGGAGGCCCCGCGGAAGCAACGTGGACAAGTTGTACCTTCCAACTTCAGCCTCAGCCACAGTGGCAGCAACACAGGGGAGGTGGTTGCCAAGTGGAGGGACATGTTCAAACGCGTAAGGGGGGAGACCGTTCGCGCGTACCAAGTCTCTCTCCGCGTACCACTTTGAGCGAATTTTTCTCAGCGTAGAGGGGGTCAAATTGAGCGGGACTTGTTGCAATGGCCTATTTAGAGGTCTTTATAATAGAATATGTGAAATTCCGCACGACCACAACTTTGGTGAGACAATGCCTTTGATGAGGGTTTTTTCATGATTCGTGACAGTGCAGGATTAGCCAGCTTTTTGATGCAACTAGAAGGAGATCTGCTTGCTGGGCGCACAATGAGTGAAATCGAGGCAGCGGCAAAGATTGATAAGCTGAGGTCTACATCGGATAATTATGTGGATTTGAGGTGAGATATTTGATGGGTTCTTCTAAATCAGATGAAGTTATGTATGCGAACGATTTTTGAGACAGCCGCTGTTTCCTTTTTTTCAGAAATTTTTTCATTTCAGTTCTTTAAATTTCTGGTGCCCATCACAGTACACCCCTTTTTTCTAATTTTCTACTTTCTTTTCTTTCATGCTAATCACACCCGCCATAGATACCTCCTCCTTTCATCTGTTTTTCTTTTTCTGTTTTAAGTCTTTAACTATTAGAAATGGCACTACTGACGTAACCCACACGGTATGGATAAGTAAGGATAAAACAATTCCAAAAGAATTTACTCGTGACAACACAATTGTTCACAAGGGCCATATAAATCTATTAGGTTGTCAAGAAAATAATGTCCGTTTTTATTTGCTTGCTTTAACAAAGCAACCAGACTCGACCCATCAAAGGGTAAGGGGTACTGTTCGATAGAGCAAAGCAAGCTCTACAAGATGGCTTTCATGATTTTGCGCCAAGCTCGACCCATGGAAAGTTCGAACTCAAAATCTGAAAATATCCAAATGTCCAAAAAATTGAAAAAAATTAGATCTTTGTCCGTATGATTTCTACAGGCCTCCCACTCGCTCACATCAATACTATCGATATTTGATATCCATATGTGCGTTTGCCGTATTTTTTCCTTGACTATAAACTGAGAAAACGAAAATTTCCCTGATTTTCTCAAAGCAATGCTGAGCCGTTTTTGCATATGTAGTTCTATACTACAATCCTAGGTAAGTATAACTGTAGATTTTCAGCCCATTCCAAGCGGTAGTTTTCGAAAAATAAAGAATTCGGATTTTTTCGTTTCAGTTTCAGTGCTAAAATCAACATTTCTCGAAAACTACCGCTTGGAATGGGCTGAAAATCTACAGTTATATTAGGGTGAACGGTAAAAAATGGGACAGCTTGATTTTCATTACATATTGGAATTTTCTGTTTCTGGCAACAGCAAGTAAGCAGCAACTCAAACGTCGCTTACATGGGCGACCTACGCTTATTATTCTGATAACGCGTTAACGCTCCTCTTCCACTACCCTACACGTGGCGCCGTGAAGAACTCGAGCAGGGTTTTTTGGACAATCCTCAATCTTGCGCTGTTATACCGTAAAGTCGTAAAGCAAATGACATACCATTCGAAAGAGCTCTTCATGCTCTTTCGAACGATACGTTAAATGCATGAGATTTCTTTTCAATTTCAGAAAAAAAATCGAAAAAACCTGGAAAATAGCTATTTTTGGCGCAACAAAAACCAAAAAATCATGTTTTGCCCTATAGTTTCCGAAGATAGATAAAATTTGAAGTAAGCTGCATATGGATGGATAGAGCGTAAAAAGCTCTATCAGATGATACCTAGAAATCATGCGTTTACTTGCAAAGAATTGAATAACGCGTATCTTTGTTCTCGAAACTGTTAATGGGCATATCTGCTGACATTGAGAGTTAAAGCCACCAAGCCGTCGTGGGTTTCGTGACTGTCCCACGGCTCACTCCAGCAGTGGTACTTTGGGTGGTCTCACATGTTTCACTGCGCCGATACTGCTCAAACTTCATAATTTCTCGAAGTAACTAACTTTGCATTTTAGCAAGTATAAAAATTATCCATTATTCAAATGACCTTATATAGGTGCTATCTGAAAGAGAATAATTTATTCTAATATCCATCAAAATTGGAAAGTTCAGTCACTTTTCTTCCTTGAGAAATCTGCAATTATTCTCAAGGTGTCCCATTTTTTACCGTTCACCCTAATACTTACCTAGGCTTGTAGTATAGAACTACATATGCAAAAACAGCTCAGCATTGCTTTGAGAAAATCAGGGAAATTTTCGTTTTCTCAGTTTCTAGTCAAGGAAAAAATACGGCAATCGCACATATGGATATCAGATATCGATAGTATTGATGTGAGCGAGTGGGAGGTCCGTAGAAATTATTTGGACGAAGATCTGATTTTTTTTCATTTTTTTGGCATTTGGAAATCTTTAGATTTTGAGTTCGAACTCTCCGTGGATCGAGCGTAGCGCAAAGACATTAATGCCATCTTGTAGAGCTTGCTTTGCTCTACCGAATAGTATGCCTTAGCCTTTGTTGGGTCGAGTCTGGTTGCTTTGTTAAAGCAAGCAAATAAAAACGGACATTATTTTCTTGACAACCTAATAGCTACCACCACTTTTCGCAAGGTGTTTCAGGTGATCTGCTTGACATTGAGACATTAGGTTGCTCAATCACTATCAGTAATTCCTTTTCAGGTGATCCTCTCGATACCCTGACGCGAAGTCCATTCTGGCGATCTGGACTTGATTTTGGACATAGAACTGGTTATGGTGTAGGATATTTTTTGAATATGCATGAGGGTCCAGGTAAATATTTTTGATACTTAATAGAGCTTTGTGTGTTTGAAGTGTATAATTTCATTCGTGTGAGTTTTTGTCTGATTTTTAAGCTACAATCGGTTACCAACAAGCTGCAGGTGGAATCCAATTATGGGTTAGGGAAGGAATGGTTCTAACTATTGAACTCGGTTACTGTGTCGAGGGAAAGTGGGGTATTCGGATAGAAAACTGTTATGAGGTGAGAGACAGATATGGAGAATGGGTGTCATAGATTGTTTTTTTTTGGTTTACCATTCAACATTTTTTGGTTTTTTTTTTCAAATCCCCGTGTGCAACCTCCTCAAGTTTCAATTGTAGGTTGTGGAGGCGACTGTGCCATCTGGAGCAGATTTTCTTGGTTTTAAAACATTAACACTAATACCGATACAAACTAGCCTCATAGGTAAGAGCATGCTCACTAACAAAGAGGTGAGTAGGAACAAATTCACTTTTGTCCTTTGTCCCATAATTTTTCCCATATAAATATAACAGTTTCTTTCAGATTGAATGGCGTAATGCACACCATGATACGGTATTGGCAACTACGGGTGATTTTCTACAAAAAGCCAATAAAAAACAAAAGCAGTGGAATGATTGAAAAAACAATGCGCTTATATTTGGGCAATATTTAGGCAAATCTTCTGATGATCAAATATGCTGCATATTTGATCATCAGAAGATTTGCCTAAATTACACTATTGCTTACACTGCATTTAAAAGCATTTTAAGGCTGTGCTACTGTCAATTATTCAAATAAAATATATCGATGATTTTTGTTCACACGCATCCAGAAGAGCTCTTTACCTGATGTGCGGCTAATAACTTGAATTTTGAGTATTTTAAAATTCATGTTTTGAAACTTGAGATCGAATTCTAGCACAGACGTACGCAAAAGCCAAAATTGTGCTGACATTAATCTGAGAGTGTCAAATGTTTCGTTTCCATCCAGTCTATTCTAAAACTTTTTCGAGAATTCCATATTTGAAATAAAAAAGAAAGGCAATATGTGGAGGAGTCCAAGACCTTGATCTTTAAGACCCCTTCAAGGACCTACATTCGGATATTTGAGCATAATTTCCCTCTCAAGATTACCAAAAGAAGCATAACCTTTGGGAAAGAGGAAAGCTAGGGATTTTAACAAATGTTATACCGACAAGGATCAAATAATCATCAATGTTACAGATGTCTAAACTCTCTATTTGAAACATTCGCGACAAGGTCAATTTTTCGATGACTGCCATTTCGGACCAGAGCGTATCTCTATTGAGACTGAGTTACATTTGTCGGCCACTGATGGGTCCTATGGTCTGGGATACTCTTTTGGGAAGTATTGCAGGAGAAGTACTTATGAGCTTACTCGGTTTTCCCAAAAAGTTGCATCGTAAATCATCAAAATCAAGCAAGGCTATCACGTCCTGCGGCTAGCATGAAGGAACCCATAGTCAGCCGTGCTTTAGAGAACGGTCACCATAACGCGTTAGGCGACAAATCCGAATTTTGTGCCCCACGAAAACTCAGGGCCCGGCACGAGGTTGTCAAAAAAGGTTTTTGAAAACGAATTCCCCTTTGACCCAAAATTTATACGACTTCCTCTTTGACTCAAAAATTGATCCCAGTGATTGCGCAGTGAACATTTTACACACAAAGAACAAGTTTTATTGACACGTTGACGACAGCGTGCATTTTTAGCTGTCTGCCTTGTGAGACAGTGCCTTCTGCAGTAATTTGAGTATTTTTAGCTGATATCAAGCAGGTCGTCATTTGCAGTATGCCTACAGTAATTTTAAGAAGCAACTAAGAAACGCGGAAGTAATTCCTAGGAATAAATCATAACAGAACTTCTAAAACCACAGTCATTGCATGACCCACCATGAGGGTCACATTGTCAATGTGTTAAACAAAAAACAAAACAATTCATTCATAACAAAAAAACACTGAGATTACATTAGACGTCTCTGGAGTGAGGTCAATGAAAGATGATTTGCACCGGCAGCTAGGGCAGGGGGGAGCCCGGGGGAGGAAGGGGGGATTCGTACCATTTATATGCTCACAATTTCTGAAAACTCTCACCCTCAAGTACTCGAGTTCAACACATACTCCTCACATTCCCGTTCACAATACGATCGGTGGGTCGTAGCCGCGTGCGCCAAGTACGCCGCAGCACGCAGCGTACGCTGCGTCGCGGCGAGAATACGCCTATGGCACAGCATACTCTGTCTACCACTGTATTTCTATATCCGTTGCTCCCTGTGTTTTCCGAGGGTTCATAGCGAGACTGTGCTGCTATGGGCGCACTTTCTCTGCAAGCAGCGTACGCTGCGTACGCGGCAGGCTGCCGCGTCCTACGGCGTAGTATGAAGGAACCCTATGAACGATAGCGCGTGCTTAGGCAGACATTTGTCAGGCGTGTGTCAATAAGATGCGCGCACCGTTACTTCGCCCTTCGCTGAACGAGTTTTCCTCGCATTATACAGGGTGTCCCAAAAGTAAATATACACTTTTCAATCGTCAATATCTCTCTTCTCAATGGGTCTTTTTTTACCATTCAAGCACCATTCTGTAGAGGAGGCTTCAACTTAGATTTGCAGCATCGAGCGAGTCGCCGATCGCTCTTCGCTACTGTGGGAATACGGTAAGAACTTTCAGCATGTGGAACTTTTGTGAAATATGCCATCTGACAAAAAGTTTTCAAAAAATCTGAAAAATCGTCTTACTGGGGTTTTCGCGCACGCTGATTCCACTATACAACTTTTCACAATTGTTTTCAGCTTTTTTGACGGTAAAATCACACTTCTGACAAATACTGAAAATTCAATTATAACGGTTTACCTGCGATAACTTTGGAAATAAACATCACAGTAAAGTAGAAACTTTATATTCGAAATCAGCGGCTTCCATTACCTTAGTATAAAAGTTTTTGGCTTGTTTGGTTTTGTTTCGGGGCAGAATATGGCTTTCAATGGCCTAAAATCCTTGTCGAAGCTCCTACAGTAATCCTACAGTAACGAAGAGCGATCGGCGACTCGCTCGATGCTGCAAATCTAAGTTGAAGCTTCGTCTACAGAATGGTACTTGAATGATGGAAAAAGACACAATGGGAAGAAAGATATTAACGATTGAAAAGTGTGTACTTACTTTTGGGACACCCTGTATTTATAAAGAAATTCGCGATATCGACAATCACAGTATGCACATCGTTACGAAAAGCTTGAAGCCCTGTTTTCAGCCTGCTCTTCTGCAGAACGCTTACGAGAAAGAAGTTACGAACTTTATTTGTGTGTAATTTGCAAAGCTGAGAGTGACTACAGCTATCAAGACCTAAACATATTAATCGACCTACTTGGGACAGCCTTTTCATAATATGATTCGAATCCATTCCAAATGCTACTTTTAGCGAAGAAACAATTCGAACGGTCAAATCAGTCAATCAGCTTTGTAATCGGTCAAAGACATGCAAATTTCGGTGATAAAAATGCCTAGGCCCTTCCTTTCCAAAAGCGTTCTGCAAATATGAGTGGGGTTTTAAAATCAGCTTCAAGCTTTCTAACGGTAAGCATTTTATGGTAACGACCACTCCGCGACCTTCCCTCCAGCAATGGTTCATGGCCGTCCTAGGGCCGCATGCATACATCCCCGTTGGGGAAGGGATAGCAGCTTCAAAAAAAGCTTCATATTTTGAAGCTCCAGATATCTGGATTTCACGCTGTCTACCTACCCGTAAGTATCCCCACTATCCTTCACTATGAACGTATTAGGAACAAGAAGCTGCACAAGCCACATAATGCAGCTTTGTGAACTCCTGATGATCCACGATGGCCGACCGTCTTTACTTGAAAGTCGCTTTTTTTTCTTCGGAGTTAACGAAAACATTCCAAAATTGTACAGTTTTTTAAAGCAACAGTGCCAAACATGTTGCTGATAAGAACAAATGTTCTTTGAAATCATGGAATTTGTGATGAAACACGGGTCAAAAGTTGGGTATATCGAAAAATTCGATATTTTAAAAATTCATTTGTTCTTATCAGCAACATGCTTAGCACAGTCGGGTTAGATAATCGATACAACTTTGAAGTGTTTCTACTGACTTCGAAGAGAAAATAAGCCTTTAAAGAAAAGACGGTCGGCCGCCGGGAATCATCAGAGGATCGTACAACAGCAGGAGAGTGCGCCTTGTATAGCTCGCTCCTGTTCAATATGTTCATAATGAAGGATGATGAGAATACTCACGGATAGGTCAAACGGCGTGAAATCCAGATATAGGCCCCGTAAGATCACAACGCGTCCCCACACGTCGCTTTGAACACCAAGGCGCGGCGCGGCTGGAAACGTTTGGTCCCGAAGCGCTACAAGCTTTTTGCGAGCGACAATGAGCGCGCACCCTCTCCACACATATTTTTTTAAACTTGTGAAGGGAGCTTTCGTCAAGATATACCTTGCATTGACGAGAACAACATGAAAGCTAAAGAAAAATTTCCTGGAATATAGTGAACGCCGACAGTCGTTCGCGACGACCGCTCGCTTGCGCTGGTGTTCAAGGCACGGCGCGGGCAATTAGGTTTTACGGCGCCTATATCTAGAGCTTTAGAATATGAAGCTTTTTTTAAAGCGGCGCTTTCCTCCCCAGCGGGTATGTCAATGCATCCGGCCCTTACTAGTCCACTGAAAGCACCTCATGATGGTAAGTCATAAGCTTGTTTCAAACTAAAAGAAGCCTCACAAGCTATAAATTTTTTTGTTTTCTTTTGTTCCTCGCTAATCTTTACTAATACTGGTATCGACCATGAAATTTTGAAAGTTTCGCTGAACAACTTTATGAGTGATTAGCGTTTCTAACTTTGGAGTGCGAAGGCCAGTCTATTAGGTTGTCTCATAAGTTTTTTCAATTGTCTTTTTACTGCAATAACTCACATACTTCTCAATTCTAATCAGCATGCAGACCAACATTTGATAGAGCAAAGCAAGCTCTATAAGATGGCGTGTAAGTGTTTGCGTCAGCTGCAGCACATCAGGAGCTAAAAACCGATATTCGAGGACTTTCGGATGCCCGAAAATTCATTTTTCACACCTTTATTTAAAGGCAACAGGTCCCAAACTTGCTCACTCATATACACTCCCCATAAAACATTCATGGGTGTCGTTGTTGTGTTTGTTTCTGTGTTAAAGACCGAGAAAATTAAAACTTTCAAGATTTGAGAAAAGCGATGCTGCGCTGTTCTCACATAGGTAAATGTATACTACAAATCTTCAAAAGTCCGATTATAGATTTTTAGCTCTCTATATGCTGTAATACCAGAGAATTATTGACCTCAACGTAAAAATCCTAACAAAAAAAGTTGAATTCTGTTTTTCTCAAGAACTAGTGATTCCAAGGACAAACACTTAACCGATGTATTTCCGTAGGCTCGTAGTATAAATTCACCTATGTGAGAGCAGCGCAGCATCGCTTTCCTGAAATTTTGAAATTTTTGGCTTTCTCAGTTTTTAGCACAGAAACAAACGCAAACATATGTGAATGTCTCATGAGAAGTGTATAAGCGTGAGCAAGTTTGGGTTCTGGCAAGTCTCCTTTCGACGAGATGTGAAAATTTTTTAAGTTTT